TCTAAGCCCTGAACCCTGAACCCTAAACCTCTGAATCACCGAGGCCATGGAGGGGGAGAAGGTCTGGGTACTGGGATGGAGCGGACAGGCCGACTGCCGGGATTTCAGGGTACCAGGGTCTTCAGGATGTCGCTGGCACTGTGGGGAGGGGTGGGCGGGAACGAACCTTTTGGGTTGAGCGTTTGAGGGTTAACTTACATAGGGTTTATGGGCCGGGGCGGGGGGGGGGGGGGGGGGGGGGGGGGGGTGGGGCATTTTTTGCAGGGAGTTCTCCTTTCTAGCAGATTAGGGGTTTGCTTTGTAAAGGAAGGAGGTGTTTGGAACGGACTTGGAGAGGATAAGAAGGGATGAAGGAAAGCTTAACACCATATCCTTTTTACCTCAGGAGAGTGAGCAAAGCCGAAGACAAGGCTTAGAATGATGTCCCTCGTGGATCTTTGAACCCCTAAACCCTCAAGAGTCCAGACCATAAACCCTTGACCCTGCTACCATATGGTCACTTGTCTATTCTACGATCCCTTTTGGAAGCTACTATTCTAAGGCGGCCCCGAATATATGTAGGATGCTCACAACCTTGAGAACTGACCATATCAGTAAGCCTCGGGCACTTGGAACTTCCTTCAGAGGAAGCATGTAATGCACTTAGCTGCTTTAAGGATCGAGAGGTGTGGATCTGTAGGTTAAGGTTTTAGGGTGTAGGCCTTTCTTCTGCCTGAGCATGATGACAGTCACCAGAAAAGCTAGGATTGTACCCTACAAACCCTGAACCTATGGCGGTCTCCGCCCCTAAACCCTAAACCCTAAACCCTAAACCCTAAACCCTAAACCCTAAACTCTAAACCCTAAACCCTAAACCCTAAACCCTAACCCAAAACCCTAAATCCTAAACTCTAAACCCTAAACCCTAAACCCTAACCCTAAACCCTAAATCCTAGACCCTGAACCCACCTCAACTAGTCCCTGCGGAACGGATGCCCTGATAGCGAGTGCAAGTGCCGGTGACAAAAAACATCTCCAAGAGACCCCTACTTGTTGGTTTAGGGTTTAGGGTTTAGGGTTTAGGGTTTAGGGTTTAGGGTTTAGGGTTTAGTTGGTTCTGGGATTCCCTTTTAAAGTACCCTGTACCCTTTTCGTTGGTTCTGGGTTCCCTTATAAAGTAACCAAACACAAACAAGGGTACTTATGGCCCTTATTATAATATGGTTGCTGGGCTACTAAGCCCTAGATCCTGAGCCCGAACCCCTAAACCCCTAAACCGTAAACCCTAAACCCTTAACCCTTAACCCTAAACACGAAAGATCTTGTGCAGGCGCTGTCCTCCCTTCAGACAGCCAAGCTGGAGCTGTCTGCGTTGAGGTGTGCCGGCCGTGGCCTGCAGCCTTTCACGGTTTCATTTTTTTTGTTCTTGGGGGGGGGGGGGGGGGGGGGGGAAGTTAGGTTTTAGGGTCTAAGGGTTTATAGGGTTTAGGGCTTGTTTTTCGGGGGGCAGCCCAAATTGTCAGAAACCCCCAGTCCAAACCCTAAACCGTAAATCCCTAAGCCCCAAACCCACAGTCGTCGGACTCCCTAAACCCTAAACCCTAAACCCTAAACCCTAAACCCTAAACCCGAAGCCCTAAACCCTAAACCCTAAACCCTAAACCAAAAAACAAAGAAACCCTCAGCCTCAGCATGGCCACTTTCCGTCAACTCAAAACCTCTCCGGGGTCTGGGATGTGCTCGTCGAGGTGCTCGAGATGCAGGGGTTTAGGGTTTAGGGTTTAGGGTTTAGGGTTTAGGGTTTGGGGATTAGGGATTATAGGGTTTTATGGGTTTTATAGGGTTTAGGGTTTAGGTGACGCATGGGGTGTAGTCAGTGTAGTGTCTGTGCTCTTGGTGGAGTTGGATGTTTTTTTTTTTTTGCTGCCTTGGGGCCTGGGGATCACCATGCTTGTCGCGACAGGTCGGCTCAATGTAGGGCAGTCGAAGAACGGTGCAGCGTGCCCAAGTTCCTGCCTGCCTTCCTTCATTGTTTTGGTCTGGTTGTTCTGCAACATTCGGCAGACGGCCGAAAACTCACAGGAGTCCGATTCTTCGGCAATATCACACAGCCTTCGGGACGCAGCATTTTAAAGCATCTGTACAAAGCTTGTTCGTTGCCGTGGCCTGGTGCCTCTCCTGCTGCGCAAGGCCGCAAAGTGCCGGGGTTTGCGGCGATTGAGGCTTTGAGTTGTGCAGCGGATTTGGGGTACGAAGCCCGAAGCCCCGAACTATTTGCGAGCGTGGTTCGAAGCTTCGGGTTCGTAGCTGGACGGAGCACCTGAAAAAGCCACTTACTTGCGCCCACCAGCTTCTAAATGGAGTTTAGATGGACGCTTAGATGTTGGATTGCTGTATAGGTTCAGTGACGTGGTAGGTGCCGGTCAGTCTCTCTCCTGGCTTTTTTGAGTACCATACTTTAATACTTTTTTTTAATTCTGGGTTCCTATTATAGCAACTTATACCGAAAAAAGTATATACTTTTTCCAGGGTCTACTCCAAAGCAGGGAGAACCCTAAATCTTAAACCCTAAACCCTAAATCCCGAGTTGTTTGCACGCTCAACCCCAAACAAGCCCTACGAATTGCTTCAGAACCCCCCAAAAATATATAAAAAAGTATTCTTCCTTCTAAGGGTACTACAGGGACTATGATTTTGTTATTTGCTGGGGGTTCTTCAGCAATCCGTCATAGGGATGATAATAGGGGGGGTACTAGAATCCCTATGAAGTACTGTCAGTGTAAGGGGGAGTTAGTGCAAGGGGGAGCATCCCAACCCTAAACCCTACAAACCCTATAAACCCTATAAACCCTATAAACCCTATAAACCCTATAAACCCTATAAACCCTATAAACCCTATAAACCCTATAAACCCTACAAACTCTATAAACCCTATAAACCCTATAAACCCTAAACCCTATAAACCCTATAAACCCTATAAACCCTACAAACCCTAAACCCCTAAACCCTAGACCCCTAAAACCCCTCTTAAGCAACTAGTAGAACCCTGAACCCTAAACCCTAAACCCTAAACCCTATAAACCCTAAACCCCTAAACCCTAGACCCCTAAAATCCCTCTTAAGCAACTAGTACAGGGTGGGGCCCCCTAGTTATAAGTAGAGTTATAAGAGCCCTTAATTGGGCTATGAGGATCCTAAACTAGGTTATAAGTCCCTTAACTACAGTTAGTATAGTAAGGGGGCCCCCCTCCTTGTAGGGTTTAGGGGTTTAGGGCTTAGGGTTTATAGGGTTTATTGGGCTTATAGGGTTTATAGGGTTTGTAGGGTTTATAGGGCTTATTAGGGGTAGAAGCCCCCTAGCCAGCATGAAGGCCGCAGCAATGGCATCCAACAGCTGCGATGAAGTGTCCTGGGCCACAGCCACAGTTTGAGCTCAAAACCCTAAACCCTAAGCCCTCTAAACCCTAAACCCTAAGCCCTCTAAACCCTAAACCCTAAACCCTAAACCCTGAACCCTGAACCCTAAACCCTAAACCCTAAACCCAAGCTTGCGTAGTCAGAGGAGTTCCTTGGGAGGGGGGGTTGGTGAAATCGAATGGCACAATTAAGGCATGGGTGCTTCATATATGGGGGATTTCCTCAATTAGCGGTACCTTACTGGGGTTCTGATGATAAGGGAATCCTACTATTTGAGGGGATCCCCTGAGGATTAGGCCGCAGAAAGCCCTATAAACCCTACATAGACCCTATAAAACCCTACATAAACCATGCAAACCCCATAGCATTCCCATACACACCCTAAACCCTGTACATCCGGTTCGGCGTCGGGGTATTCTGCATGAAGCTTGGGGTACGCAGGGCTTCAGGGGGTTTAGGGGGTTTAGGGTTTAGGGTTAGGGTTTAGGGTCTAGGGTCTAGGGTCTAGGGTTTAGGGTTTAGGGTTTAGGGTTTAGGGTTTAGGGTTTAGGGTTTGGGGCCTAACCCTAAGGATCTTGGGATGTTGTGATACAAGGGCCTTAAGAGTTACTGTAGAAAAGGTTTTGGGTGGTTAGTATAGTAGAATCACATAGGGACCCTAAGGGAGTATTCGTAATTGTTCCGACCCCTATATCCGACCGTCCTTTGTCGGGCTTCAAGAATCGTATCCAGGAGAATTTTCGAAGAGTTAACATCTTGAACCCGAAAGGCCGCCCCTAAACCCTAAACCCTAAACCCTAAACCCTAAACCCTAAACCCTAAACCCTAAACCCTAAACCCTAAACCTCTTAAAGCCCCCGGACTAGATGGCTTTCTCGCCTCGGCTGCCAAGCCCCTTGCATGTGGAGGCCTCATACCTGGCGATCCGTTGGGTGAATCCCCTTGCCAGGACCCTGGAGAACGGTTTAGGGTTTAGGGTTTAGGGTTTAGGGTTTAGGGTTTAGGGTTTAGGGTTTAGGGTTTAGGGTTTTGGAGGGTCATGGTACTTATTAACCAATTATAATTGTACTTAAGCCCACTTATTATAAGCCCCTTAAGTGCACCAATATGGTTATAAGTACAGTTATAATTGCAGCTATAATTGGTTAATAAGTACCATGAACCTCCAAGCAGGGTGTCAGGCATCAGGGGTTTAGGGCGTGAGGGTTTAGGGGTTGAGAAGGGTTAAGGGTTAAGGGTTTTTTGGATAGACCTGATGCGCAAGAAGTGCGGAGGGAGTGGCCGCTTTTCTGCAACCTACTCATCACCAAATACCTAGGTTTGGAGACTAACAGGCTGCGTTTCAAAGCCGCACGCCCAATTGGAGGTTCATGGTACTTCTTAACCAATTATACCTGCACTTATAACTTATAACTGTACTTGTAACCATATTAGGGCACTTAAGGGGCTTTTAAGTGGGTAAGTACAGTTATAATATTGGTTAAGAAGTGCCAGGAACCTCCAAGTAGGGCATCTGCTCTGAAGGATGTCACCTGGAAATTGTAAGGGCGTCCCTTGGGCTCAAACCCGTCGGTGGAGCGAGAGCGCTTGCGATGCTTCCCGTGATGGCGGCGAGTAAGGTGCAAGGATGGTACAACAAGTTCCATAGCATAGCGACGGCTTGCTTTGACACTGCCTGTTTCTTAGGCGCCGAGGAAGCCTTGTTTTTTCAAGATGTACTTAGGGTGTGCTGTAAGCGCCCCCCCCCTGAACGCCCAAAGGTTAGCCATTTTTGCCAACTTCCTCCCTGGGAAACCCAGCCAGTAAGGCTTCAAGGGCTTCAAGAGGGAGGACTTCGTCGTTGTCGAGCTCCCTGCAGACCGCGATTGCCAGGTGGAAGCGCCTCCACCGCCCCCGCAGCCCAAAAGAAGGCGAGATCGCGGAGAATGGGCTCAGTACAGCCCCGAAGACGATGACTACGACATGACAGCCGCCACGCGCCCACCCCAAAGTGGTGAGGAACACGTCGCTGACTTGCAGGTGGGTAGGAGGGCTTTTGTTGTTCTACGTCTCGGTTCGTACGTATATACGCACGGTTCTTCTTACTTGCAATGAAGAGGAAGGGGGAGAGAAAGCAAAGCCCTCATCCGCCTACACGCCAACATCAAGCATAGTCCGAAAACAAATCAACAGAACCACAAGTCCCGGCTCCCTCATGCCTTTCTTGCAGGCGGTGAACCAGATCCGGCACCTGGCAGGACGCGTCACCGCGGGTGGAGAGATCCACGTTATCCAACACTATGCGAAGGTCATCCAAGACATGGAGGCCAACCTCTCCAGCGCTGGGCGAGCATTGCTGCGCCAGCAGACACGTGGCGATGCCAACCATGTTCGCAAACCGTCATTGGCAACTGCATCCACCTGCACAGACGAGGATTGGGAGAGCGTCGAGACCGTCGTCGAGGTGGAGGATGAGGATGACTGGCTGTTGCTTAATGTGCAGCTGTGAAGTGAAAAGCCATTTTTCCCTAAGCAGCCTGAAAGGGCTGGGCTGTTGCCCAGCCTTTCCGGGTGGGTACCTGGATGACCCCAATGTTGTTGGTGTCAGATCAGGAAGGGGGAAGCACTAGAGAAGCACTCTATGGAAGACAGTAGTACTATGACAACCATGCCTTTTGGCCCTAGACCATTTTCAGCCTTGTTCAGGCGTGCGGTGCTCGCAAGTGTTTCTTTCCGTCACGCAGAAATTCGGATAGGGCACAACGCCCTTGCAAATGGTGAATTACGTCACGCGGGCGCAGGCGCACGAAGTGCTGCCGGCTGTGGCCTATGCCGAAAATATTCGTCTGGACTCTGGATGGTGCAGAACTACATGGCCTCAAAATCACATGCCTTGGGTTGGGATTCCAGCGTGTTTAGCCCGTGCTTTCGGTTGCTGGCGTTCACGGGGCCGTGGGTAGCTTCGGCATGTGTTAGGTGGCATTCTCTGCATCCTGAACATGCTGGGGGAGGGGGGGGGGTGGGCAGAGGCACCCCTCAAAACCCGAAAACCCTTCAGGACCCCGTACCCCCAAACCCTATAGATCCTATAGAGCCTTTCCGAATGAGATGGGTTTTAAGGTTCAGCTGAAGTTCTGTAATCTGCGTGGTGAGGGTTCTCCGCAAGCCACAGCTTACTTTTGAGCACGTAGGTGGTTGTCATAGTATCCCTCCTTCTCTCAGATGTTTATGTGTACTGCAAGTTTTCAAGACTTCTAGGTCACTTTTTTGGGGTAAAGTCGTGAGCTTGAAGCCCTTTAGGATTTTAGGCAGGTTCAGGGGAGGCGGACACACACGGCGCTGGTGTGAATTGGCTCAAAGCCGTCGGTGGAGCGAGAACCCTTGCGATGCTTCCCGTGATGGCGGCGAGCAAGGTGAAAAGCTGGTACAACAAGTTCCACAGCATAGCGACGGCTTGCTTTGACACTGCCTGTTTCCTAGGAGCTGAGGAGGAAATCTTGTTCTTGCAGGATCCACTAGTTGGGTGTTGTAAGCACCCCCCCCTGCCTCCCTGAGAAGCTCAGCCAGCAAGGCTTCAAGGGCTTCAAGAGCGAGGACTTCGTCGTTGTCGAGCTCCCTGCAGACCGCGATTGCCAGGTGGAAGCGCCTCCACCGCCCCCTCAGCCCAAAAGAAGGCGAGATCGCGGAGAATGGGCTCAGTACAGCCCCGAAGACGATGACTACGACATGACAGCCTCCACGCGCCCACCCCAAAGTGGTGAGGAACACGTCGCTGACTTGCAGGTGGGTAGGAGGGCTGTTGTTGTACGTCTTGGTTTGTGTGTGTATATACCCATGGTTCTTTGTTTGTGGTAATGTTCAGGAGGGTGGGGGAGAGAAAGCAAAACTGTCATCTGCCTACACACCAACATCAAACAAAATCCTTAAAGAAATGGTGCCACAAGTCCCGGCTCCCTCACACCTCTCCTGCAGGCGGTGAACCAGATCCTGCACCTGGCAGGACGCGTCACCGCGGGTGGAGAGATCCACGTTATCCAACACTATGCGAAGGTCATCCAAGACATGGAGGCCAACCTCTCCAGCGCTGGGCGAGCATTGCTGCGCCAGCAGACACGTGGCGATGCCAACCATGTTCGCAAACCGTCATTGGCAACTGCATCCACCTGCACAGACGAGGATTGGGAGAGCGTCGAGACCGTCGTCGAGGTGGAGGATGAGGATGACTGGCTGTTGCTTAATGTGCAGCTGTGAAGTGAAAAGCCATTTTTCCCTAAGCAGCCTGAAAGGGCTGGGCTGTTGCCCAGCCTTTCCGGGTGGGTACCTGGATGACCCCAATGTTGTTGGTGTCAGATCAGGAAGGGGGAAGCACTAGAGAAGCACTCTATGGAAGACAGTAGTACTATGACAACCATGCCTTTTGGCCCTAGACCATTTTCAGCCTTGTTCAGGCGTGCGGTGCTCGCAAGTGTTTCTTTCCGTCACGCAGAAATTCGGATAGGGCACAACGCCCTTGCAAATGGTGAATTACGTCACGCGGGCGCAGGCGCACGAAGTGCTGCCGGCTGTGGCCTATGCCGAAAATATTCGTCTGGATTCTGGATGGTGCAGAACTACATGGCCTCAAAATCAGATGCCTTGGATTGGGATTCCAGCGTGTTTAGCCCGTGCTTTCGGTTGCTGGCGTTCAGGGGGCCGTGGGTAGCTTCGGCATGTGTTAGGTGGCATTCTCTGCATCCTGAACATGCTGGGGGAGGGGGGGGGTGGGCAGAGGCACCCCTCAAAACCCGAAAACCCTTCAGGACCCCGTACCCCCAAACCCTATAGATCCTATAGAGCCTTTCCGAATGAGATGGGTTGTAAGGTTCAGCTGAAGTTCTGTAATCTGCGTGGTGAGGGTTCTCCGCAAGCCACAGCTTACTTTTGAGCACGTAGGTGGTTGTCATAGTATCCCTCCTTCTCTCAGATGTTTATGTGTACTGCAAGTTTTCAAGACTTCTAGGTCAATTTTTTGGGGTAAAGTCGTGAGCCTGAAGCCCAGGTTTTAGGCAGGTTCAGGGGAGGCGGACACACACGGCGCTGTTGTGAATTGGCTCAAAGCCGTCGGAGGAGCGAGAACCCTTGCGATGCTTCCCGTGATGGCGGCGAGCAAGGTGAAAAGCTGGTACAACAAGTTCCACAGCATAGCGACGGCTTGCTTTGACACTGCCTGTTTCCTAGGCGCTGAGGAGGAAATCTTTTTTTTCAGGATCCACTAGTCCACTAGTTGGGTGTTGTAAGCGCACCCCCTTCCTTCCTGAGAAACCCAGCCAGTAAGGCTTCAAGGGCTTCAAGAGCGAGGACTTCGTCGTTGTCGAGCTCCCTGCAGACCGCGATGGCCAGGTGGAAGCGCCTCCACCGCTCCCGCAGCCCAAAAGAAGGCGCGATCGCGGAGAATGGGCTCAGTACAATCCAGAAGATCCTTCTGGGTTGTACTGAGCCCATTCTCCGCGACGATGACTACGACATGACAGCCGCCACTCGCCCACCCCAAAGTGGTGAGGAACACGTCGCTGACTTGCAGGTGGGTAGGACGGCTTTTGTTGTACGTCTTTGTTTGTGTGTATATACACATGGTTCTTTGTTTGTGGTAATGTTCAGGAGGGGGGAGAGAAAGCAAAACCGTCATCTGCCTATACACACCAACATCAAACACAATCCGGAAAGCTACAAAACCACAAGTCCCGGCTCCTTCACCTCTTCTTGCAGGCGGTGAATCTGAAGCAGATCCTGCACCTGGCAGGACGCGTCACCGCGGGTGGAGACATCCATGTTATCCAGCACTTGCGTAGTGCTGGATAACATGGATGTCTCCACCCGCAGTGACGCGTCCTGCCAGGTGCATCCAGAAAATGGAGGCCAACCTCTCCAGTGCTGGGCGAGCATTGCTGCATCATCAGACACGTGGCGATGCCAACTATGATTGTTGTCGAGGTGGAGGATGACTGGCTGCTCCTCAACGTGCAGCTGTGAAGTGAAAAGCCATTTTTTCCGATGCAGCCTGAAAGGGCTGGGCTGTTGCCTAGCCTTTCCGGGTGGGTACCTGGATGACCTCAATGTTGTTGGTGTCAGGTCCAGAAGGCTGAAGCACTATCCCTAAACTCTAAACCTAAAACCTCTACCCGAAACCCTAACCCCTAAACCCTAAACCCTAAAACCATAAAACCCTAAACCCTAAATCCCAATACAACCATGCCGCATTTCGTCCCTAGACACTTATAAGCCTTGATCCTAGCATCAGCCATGAAGCGTACGCTCCCCGCAAAGCGCTTCCGTCACGCAGAAATTCGGATAGGGCACAATGCCCTTGCAAGGGTGAATTCCGTCACGCAGGCGCAGGCGCACGAAGTGCTGCCGGCCTATGCTGACAATCTTGAACTACATGGCCTCAAATCAGATACCTTGCATAGGGATTACATGAGAGTTGGGTGCTTAGGCCGTGCATTGGGTTGCTGGCATTCAGGGTGCCGTGGGTAGCCTCGGCATGTGTTAGGTGGCATTCTCTGCATCCTGAACATGCTGGGGGAGGGGGGGGGGGGTGGGCAGAGGCACCCCTGAAAACCCGAAAACCCTTCAGGACCCCGTACCCCCAAACCCTATAGATCCTATAGAGCCTTTCCGAATGAGATGGGTTGTAAGGTTCAGCTGAAGTTCTGTAATCTGCGTGGTGAGGGTTCTCCGCAAGCCACAGCTTACTTTTGAGCACGTAGGTGGTTGTCATAGTATCCCTCCTTCTCTCAGATGTTTATGTGTACTGCAAGTTTTCAAGACTTCTAGGTCACTTTCTTGGGGTAAAGTCGTGAGCTTGAAGCCCTTTAGGATTTTAGGCAGGTTCAGGGGAGGCGGACACACACGGCGCTGGTGTGAATTGGCTCAAAGCCGTCGGTGGAGCGAGAACCCTTGCGATGCTTCCCGTGATGGCGGCGAGCAAGGTGAAAAGCTGGTACAACAAGTTCCACAGCATAGCGACGGCTTGCTTTGACACTGCCTGTTTCCTAGGAGCTGAGGAGGAAATCTTGTTCTTGCAGGATCCACTAGTTGGGTGTTGTAAGCACCCCCCCTGCCTCCCTGAGAAGCTCAGCCAGCAAGGCTTCAAGGGCTTCAAGAGCGAGGACTTCGTCGTTGTCGAGCTCCCTGCAGACCGCGATTGCCAGGTGGAAGCGCCTCCACCGCCCCCTCAGCCCAAAAGAAGGCGCGATCGCGGAGAATGGGCTCAGTACAGCCCGGAAGACGATGACTACGACATGACAGCCGCCACGCGCCCACCCCAAAGTGGTGAGGAACACGTCGCTGACTTGCAGGTGGGTAGGACGGCTTTTGTTGTACGTCTTTGTTTGTGTGTATATACACATGGTTCTTTGTTTGTGGCAATGTTCAGGAGGGGGGAGAGAAAGCAAAACCGTCATCTGCCTACACACCAACATCAAACACAATCCGGAAAGCTACAAAACCACAAGTCCCGGCTCCTTCACCTCTTCTTGCAGGCGGTGAATCTGAAGCAGATCCTGCACCTGGCAGGACGCGTCACCGCGGGTGGAGAGATCCATGTTATCCAGCACTACGCAATTTGCGTAGTGCTGGATAACATGGATCTCCACCCGCGGTGACGCGTCCTGCCAGGTGCATCCAGGAAATGGAGGCCAACCTCTCCAGCGCTGGGCGAGCATTGCTGCATCATCAGACACGTGGCGATGCCAACTATGATTGTTGTCGAGGTGGAGGATGACTGGCTGCTCCTCAACGTGCAGCTGTGAAGTGAAAAGCCATTTTTTCCGATGCAGCCTGAAAGGGCTGGGCTGTTGCCTAGCCTTTCCGGGTGGGTACCTGGATGACCTCAATGTTGTTGGTGTCAGGTCCAGAAGGCTGAAGCACTATACCTAAAACCTCTACCCGAAACCCTAACCCCTAAACCCTAAACCCTAAAACCATAAAACCCTAAACCCTAAATCCCAATACAACCATGCCGCATTTCGTCCCTAGACACTTATAAGCCTTGATCCCAGCATCAGCCATGAAGCGTACGCTCCCCGCAAAGCGCTTCCGTCACGCAGAAATTCGGATAGGGCACAACGCCCTTGCAAGGGTGAATTCCGTCACGCAGGCGCAGGCGCACGAAGTGCTGCCGGCCTATGCTGACAATCTTGAACTACATGGCCTCAAATCAGATACCTTGCATAGGGATTACATGAGAGTTGGGTGCTTAGGCCGTGCATTGGGTTGCTGGCATTCAGGGTGCCGTGGGTAGCCTCGGCATGTGTTAGGTGGCATTCTCTGCATCCTGAACATGCTGGGGGAGGGGGGGGGGGGTGGGCAGAGGCACCCCTGAAAACCCGAAAACCCTTCAGGACCCCGTACCCCCAAACCCTATAGATCCTATAGAGCCTTTCCGAATGAGATGGGTTGTAAGGTTCAGCTGAAGTTCTGTAATCTGCGTGGTGAGGGTTCTCCGCAAGCCACAGCTTACTTTTGAGCACGTAGGTGGTTGTCATAGTATCCCTCCTTCTCTCAGATTGTATACTGCAAGTTTTCAAGACTTCTAGGTCAATTTTTTGGGGTAAAGTCGTGAGCCTGAAGCCCAGGTTTTAGGCAGGTTCAGGGGAGGCGGACACACACGGCGCTGGTGTGAATTGGCTCAAAGCCGTCGGTGGAGCGAGAACCCTTGCGATGCTTCCCGTGATGGCGGCGAGCAAGGTGAAAAGCTGGTACAACAAGTTCCACAGTATAGCGACGGCTTGCTTTGACACTGCCTGTTTCCTAGGCGCTGAGGAGGAAATCTTGTTTTTGTCAGGATCCACTAGTCCACTAGTTGGGTGTTGTAAGCGCCCCCCCTTCCTCCCTGAGAAGCTCAGCCAGCAAGGCTTCAAGGGCTTCAAGAGCGTGGACTTCGTCGTTGTCGAGCTCCCTGCAGACCACGATGGCCAGGTGGAAGCGCCTCCACCGCCCCCGCAGCCCAAAAGAAGGCGCGATCGCGGAGAATGGGCTCAGTACAGCCCGGAAGACGATGACTACGACATGACAGCCGCCACGCGCCCACCCCAAAGTGGTGAGGAACACGTCGCTGACTTGCAGGTGGGTAGGACGGCTTTTGTTGTACGTCTTTGTTTGTGTGTATATACACATGGTTCTTTGTTTGTGGCAATGTTCAGGAGGGGGGAGAGAAAGCAAAACCGTCATCTGCCTACACACCAACATCAAACACAATCCGGAAAGCTACAAAACCACAAGTCCCGGCTCCTTCACCTCTTCTTGCAGGCGGTGAATCTGAAGCAGATCCTGCACCTGGCAGGACGCGTCACCGCGGGTGGAGAGATCCATGTTATCCAGCACTACGCAATTTGCGTAGTGCTGGATAACATGGATCTCCACCCGCGGTGACGCGTCCTGCCAGGTGCATCCAGGAAATGGAGGCCAACCTCTCCAGCGCTGGGCGAGCATTGCTGCATCATCAGACACGTGGCGATGCCAACTATGATTGTTGTCGAGGTGGAGGATGACTGGCTGCTCCTCAACGTGCAGCTGTGAAGTGAAAAGCCATTTTTTCCGATGCAGCCTGAAAGGGCTGGGCTGTTGCCTAGCCTTTCCGGGTGGGTACCTGGATGACCTCAATGTTGTTGGTGTCAGGTCCAGAAGGCTGAAGCACTATACCTAAAACCTCTACCCGAAACCCTAACCCCTGAACCCTAAACCCTAAAACCATAAAACCCTAAACCCTAAATCCCAATACAACCATGCCGCATTTCGTCCCTAGACACTCATAAGCCTTGATCCCAGCATCAGCCATGAAGCGTACGCTCCCCGCAAAGCGCTTCCGTCACGCAGAAATTCGGATAGGGCACAACGCCCTTGCAAGGGTGAATTCCGTCACGCAGGCGCAGGCGCACGAAGTGCTGCCGGCCTATGCTGACAATCTTGAACTACATGGCCTCAAATCAGATACCTTGCATAGGGATTACATGAGAGTTGGGTGCTTAGGCCGTGCATTGGGTTGCTGGCATTCAGGGTGCCGTGGGTAGCCTCGGCATGTGTTAGGTGGCATTCTCTGCATCCTGAACATGCTGGGGGAGGGGGGGGGGGGTGGGCAGAGGCACCCCTGAAAACCCGAAAACCCTTCAGGACCCCGTACCCCCAAACCCTATAGATCCTATAGAGCCTTTCCGAATGAGATGGGTTGTAAGGTTCAGCTGAAGTTCTGTAATCTGCGTGGTGAGGGTTCTCCGCAAGCCACAGCTTACTTTTGAGCACGTAGGTGGTTGTCATAGTATCCCTCCTTCTCTCAGATGTTTATGTGTACTGCAAGTTTTCAAGACTTCTAGGTCACTTTCTTGGGGTAAAGTCGTGAGCTTGAAGCCCTTTAGGATTTTAGGCAGGTTCAGGGGAGGCGGACACACACGGCGCTGGTGTGAATTGGCTCAAAGCCGTCGGTGGAGCGAGAACCCTTGCGATGCTTCCCGTGATGGCGGCGAGCAAGGTGAAAAGCTGGTACAACAAGTTCCACAGCATAGCGACGGCTTGCTTTGACACTGCCTGTTTCCTAGGAGCTGAGGAGGAAATCTTGTTCTTGCAGGATCCACTAGTTGGGTGTTGTAAGCACCCCCCCTTCCTCCCTGAGAAGCTCAGCCAGCAAGGCTTCAAGGGCTTCAAGAGCGAGGACTTCGTCGTTGTCGAGCTCCCTGCAGACCGCGATTGCCAGGTGGAAGCGCCTCCACCGCCCCCTCAGCCCAAAAGAAGGCGAGATCGCGGAGAATGGGCTCAGTACAGCCCCGAAGACGATGACTACGACATGACAGCCGCCACGCGCCCACCCCAAAGTGGTGAGGAACGCGTCGCTGACTTGCAGGTGGGTAGGAGGGCTGTTGTTGTACGTCTTGGTTTGTGTGTGTATATACCCATGGTTCTTTGTTTGTGGTAATGTTCAGGAGGGTGGGGGAGAGAAAGCAAAACTGTCATCTGCCTACACACCAACATCAAACAAAATCCTTAAAGAAATGGTGCCACAAGTCCCGGCTCCCTCACACCTCTCTTGCAGGCGGTGAACCAGATCCTGCACCTGGCAGGACGCGTCACCGCGGGTGGAGAGATCCACGTTATCCAGCACTATGCGAAGGTCATCCAAGACATGGAGGCCAACCTCTCCAGCGCTGGGCGAGCATTGCTGCGCCAGCAGACACGTGGCGATGCCAACCATGTTCGCAAACCGTCATTGGCAACTGCATCCACCTGCACAGACGAGGATTGGGAGAGCGTCGAGACCGTCGTCGAGGTGGAGGATGAGGATGACTGGCTGTTGCTTAATGTGCAGCTGTGAAGTGAAAAGCCATTTTTCCCTAAGCAGCCTGAAAGGGCTGGGCTGTTGCCCAGCCTTTCCGGGTGGGTACCTGGATGACCCCAATGTTGTTGGTGTCAGATCAGGAAGGGGGAAGCACTAGAGAAGCACTCTATGGAAGACAGTAGTACTATGACAACCATGCCTTTTGGCCCTAGACCATTTTCTGCCTTGTTCAGGCGTGCGGTGCTCGCAAGTGTTTCTTTCCGTCACGCAGAAATTCGGATAGGGCACAACGCCCTTGCAAATGGTGAATTACGTCACGCAGGCGCAGGCGCACGAAGTGCTGCCGGCTATGGCCTATGCTGACAATATCCGTCTGGATTCTGGATGGTGCAGAACTACATGGCCTCAAAATCAGATGCCTTGGATTGGGAGTCCAGGGGTCTTGGGTGTTCAGGCCGTGCTTTCGGTTGCTGGCGTTCAGGGGGCCGTGGGTAGCCTCGCGTGTGTGGGCGGCATTCTCTGCGTCATTGAACATGCCGAACAAGGCACCTCTACCTGAGGGCTTGCACGTGCGAGGGTCGAGGAAGTACCCGGAAGCCCTTCAGGACCCCTAAACCCAAAACCCTAAACCCTAAGCCCTGTAAGTATTCAGCTGAAGCTCCGAGGTCAATATCGGGCTTCATGAGCAAGTTCGCCTGGAGCAGAGCCCGCCACTGGCGGAAAAAGAAGACACGGCCAAGAACACGCCGCTCATCCTTAGAACGGGTTTAGGGTTGAGGGTTGAGGGTTGAGAGTTTAGGGTTTGGGGTTTAGGGTTTAGGGTCTACGGTTTAGGGTTGAGGGTTGTGTTTGTTAAATTGGCCGTGGTTCGCCCTTGGGTGTAGGGCCCGAGAAACATACGCAAAGCACATTATGATAGCCCGCTGGGTTTTTCATAAGCGCATATAAAACAGACAACTCCCAAGGAAACTATGGGTTCGCATCAGCTTACCCCTGGCCCAACCACATTGCCATGAAGGGATCCTTCAGGTAAATTTGAATATTTAAGCTCTACAGGGTTGAGGGTTTCGGATTTGGGGTTTATCCTTGACCCATGACCCCAGACGCGACAAGTTGGTGTGTTCCAACAGCCTATAGATCGATATATATATATATATATATACATATAGGCTTATTCCACTAGAAAGCGCATCGACCCTAATCCCTAAACCCTACACCCTAAACCCTAAACCTTAAACCCTAAACCCTCAACCCTAAACCCCACGCCCCACAACTCCGAAAACTCCAAACACTCCACTACTTCAGGCGCCGCTTCGCCGAGCTGATCGCGCAGGAGGAGAGAGAAAAAAGGCCCTTTCATGCGAGTTAGTAGGGTTTAGGATTTAAGGTCTAGGGTTTACGGTTTAGGGTTTGTGAGGGTCTGTGAGGGTTTATAGGATTTACAGGGGTCTGGCACCCAGAGTAGGCCCTTATTCCCTTTGTTTCGAGGGTTTAGGGTTTAGGGCCAGGACCCGGAGTAGGCCTTTTTAGGGCTAGGGCCCAGAGTAGAGTAGCCTAAGACTCCTAAGTACTTTACCCTACCCTAAGCACTAAACCCTAACCCCCCAATGAACAGCAGGTCCAACCCGCTGGTTCGCGCAACCTTCTGGGCATACTGGCCACAACTGCTCCTCCTGCCTGGGGGCCTACGCAGGATTTAGGGTTTAGGGTTTAGGGTTGAGGGTTTTGCCTCTATAAGGGCGCTTAAAGTCCAGGGGGCGTGGAGGGTTTGGGGGGTTACAAACACCCTATACCCTAAATCCCAAAACCCTAAACCCTAACCATCAATCCCCCCCATGAACCCAAAGCCCGATAAACTTTGCACCAGAGTCATCCCTGAACCTCAAGACCTTTCCTGCAATCAACCCCCATATAGGGTGGTTGTCAAAATTATGGTCCCTTTTTGGATCCCCATTATAATACGGCACCTAATATTTAGGGTACCCAAAAACGGACCATAATTTTGACAACCACCCAAATAAGTCTGAGCAACCCTAAAGGCAAGCAGGTCGAGAGCACGTCTCTGGCTTCTTAGGTGCTGGGTAAGGCAAGGCAACCTCATCCTAGTAGCTAGGACCCGGAGGAGGCCCTTATTTCCTGTTTTTAGGGTTGAGAAGTACCTTATAACCCCCTTCAACCAGAAAGGGTACCCTTTTTATTCGGTTACTCCTGGGTCTAGGTAGCGATTCGGGGGTTGGCGTGTGGTTTCCGATTTCAAGTTTGCTTAGGGGCTGGGCGGCATGGCAGGCAGCCTCGAACTTTTTGAGGTACTAAGACATAGAAAGGTTGAGGAAGCACCCCCTGGAAACTCAGGCAGCAAGGGAAAGGCGTCATTGCTTGCAGAGGTGCAGAGCTTCTTGTTTTGACACAGCCGCTCAAGGGACAATGGAGGAGTGAATATTGGTGGTCCTAATGCTTAACGTGGTCGGCGAAAAAGGGCGTGCAAAACCCCGAACCCCTAAACCCTACACCCTAAACTCCTAGACCCCTAAACCCTAAACCCCCAAACCCTAACCCCCTAAGCCCGTAAACCCTACACCCCTAAACCCCTCAACCCCGAAACCCTCAACCCTCAACCCTATACAGCCGGGGGTGTGTGCTCAGGGAGCTCATGAAGATCAGCCAGTACCTCCTGGGTGCCGCGTCTTAAAGCAGCGACTGAGGGTTTAGGGTTTAGGGTTTAGAGTTTAGGGTTTAGGGTTTAGGTTTAGGACAAGGGTGTGCCACAGTAGTTGATCACGGGTTGGGCCTGGGTACCTTCAAGACTTCTTTGCGCCTGTGTGCCTCCTCTTGGTGTATAGGCCTAAACCCTAAACCCTAAACCCCAAACCCTAAACCCTAAACCCTAAACCCTAAACCCTAAACCCTAAACCCTAAACCCTAAGGGACCTCTGAATCCTCAAACCCCCCTTACAAGAACCCAAGGCCCCAATTCCCAAATTCTGACCCCCCCTCCCCCCCTCCCAGCAAAATATACAAAGTCACAACACGTTAACAAACCCGAGATAAAGCAAACCAAAACAGCAAACATCTTAAAGACCTATAGACCCCCAAAAAAGACAAACCCCCTGGACCCTTAGACCCCTAAATCTTGGCCCAGTTCTGGTGGAGAGTTTCCCCATCTCCCCTCCACAACCCATCGTGCTAAACCCTCAACCCTCAACCCTTAACCTTAAACCCTAAGCCCTAAACCCTAAACCCTAAACCCTAAACCCTAAACGTTCGGTCCCCGTTCTGCAGCGTCAGGCTTGCTGAGTCCCTTTATCCTGCAGCGGGTCCTTGTTTTCCAGGAGGCTCGCACTCTGAGTTTCGGGTTTAGGGTTTAGGTGGGCCTAGGGTTTAGGGTTGAGGGTTTAGGGTTTAGGGTTCAGGGCCTAAAGTTTAGGGTTTAGGGCTCAGAGTTTCGGGTTTGTGGTTCACGGTTTGTTTGTGGTTTGGGGTTTCAGGCTGACTGGCCACTGATTCTTTCAGGCGACTTGCGAGGGTGGATTTACAGGGTGGTGCCCCCTTACTATACTAACTGTAGTTAAGGGACTTATAACCCAACTTAGGGTCCTTATAACCCAGTTTAGGGCCCTTAGAACTCTACTTATAACTAGGGGGCCCCACCCTGTAGGTGTCATTATACATTGGCGGGATCAAGCTCGTCAGGGGCTCTTACATGTATGTCTTATATGCGTAGATTGTATACGTATGTATGTATGTCTGTTTAGGGTTTAGGGTTTAGGGTTTAGGGTTTAGGGTTTAGGGTTTAGGGTTTAGGGTTTAGGGTTTAGGGACGCTCCTCCACAATTAAGCTGGGGCCATTGCTGGATGAGGCACAGCACCTTAAACTTCAAAGCCTGAAGAACAAACCCTGAACCGCATGGACGCCAGCAGAACACGGGCGATCGGCCCGCCAGGTGCCAAGACCGTATTTGGACTTTGGTTTCTTAAAGACTTTCCGTTCTTCAACACTGTTAATTTTCAAATGCCCTGAAAGTCCAGAACCCATAACCCTCGAAACCGTTTGCAATCACAGCCCATCAAGTGATTGGTCTCTGCCATTTGGGTTTAGGGTTTAGGGTTTAGGGTTGAGGGTTTGCTGTGATAGGGCGTAGATGCTGTGAAGGTTAGGTTTTGGAACAAGCTCGAAACTCCACAGAGGGAGACGGGCCCAGGCCAGGGTCAGTCTGGGCAGCCCAGGGGCCCGGCAGAGGGGCCCAAAGGCCCAATTAAAGCAAAGGGGGCGCAAAAGGCCCAGGGCAGGAGGCCCAGGAGGCTCAGGGGGGGCCTAAGCGGGGTCAGGGGGCCCAGGCAGCCCAGCAAACCCAGCAGCGGGGGCCAGGACGGGGTGGCCCACGGGGGCCCAAGGGGGGGCCCAGGGGGGCCCAGCGGGGTCCAGGGGGCCAGCAAGGCCCAGGAGCGCCCCTCACCGCAGCGTGTCCAGGGATGAGGGGGCCGCAGGCCAGGCCATGCTTTTTTGGTTTCTGGACCTGGGCCCCTGGGCCCCCCTGGGCCCCCCTGGGCCCCTGGGCCTTGATGGGCCCCCCGGCCCCCCTGGGCCCCCCAAGCCCGGGCCCCCCTTTGGGCCCTCCTGGGCCGTCCTGGGCTTCCCTGGGCCCCCCTGGGCCCCCCTGGGCCCCCTGGGCTTTCCTGGGCCCCCCTGAGCTGGTAGGACTCGAACCTACAATCCCGGCTCCGTAGGCCGATGCCTTATCCATTGGGCCACAGGACCTCTGCAGAGCCGGCTGTCAGGCAAGCTCTGTGTGTTGTTTCTTCGTGGAAGAAGTCATCTTGTCTGACGATGAGCATGCCTTAGCTGGCTACATCATGCAAAAAGTTTTGCTTGCAGATCAGCAAGTCGAGACCCGCTGATCGATTTACTGCTCATATCTTTTGCATCACTGCTTTTTCTGGAGCCCCTGCCTGGCCGGCCCCTGCAGGCCCCTGGCTGGGAGGCCCCTGTTTGGGAGGCCCCCACCTGGGAGGCCCCTGCTGCCTGGGAGGCCTGGGGGAGGCCCCTGCCTGGGAGGCCCTGCCTGGAGGCCCCTGCTTGGGAGGCCTGCCTGGGACCCTGCCTGGGATGGGAGGCCCCATTAAGGGGACCAGTACTGGTCCCCAAAAGAACCTGCTCCGGTGCCGGGCCCATCGTGGGTGCTACCGACCTCCTGGCTGCAGGAGGCGGGCAAGCGACCTGGGTCGACCTTCGCCGGCTTAAGCGCCGCCCCCCCTCTGTAGGGGGCGGCCTCGGCCCTGAGTTTTAGGGTTTTAGGGTTTAGGGTTTAGGGTTTAGGGACCCCTGAAATAGACCCCCAAATAGTAAGATTCCCTTCTACTCGGGACCCCAAGAAGGCACCCCTAATGTTCGGAAACCCCCCATATCGTAATTCGGTTTTGGGAGCCTAAACTCTAAGACAGGGGAACCTTCTAGTAGGGTTTAGGGTTTAGGGTTTAGGGTTTAGGGTTTAGGGTTTAGGGTTTAGGGTTTAGGGTTACCCCAAGAAGCCAGCCCGAATTCCGGAAACACCCATTGAGCCCTCGAACCAGAACCCTAAGCCCTACTCAGTAACCCTAAACCCTAAACCCTAAACCCTAAACCCTAAACCCTAGTAGCACAGCCAGGCGCAGAATGAAGGCAAGACGCTTAGCTCAGACGTCGGGAGCCCCAGCCTGCGCTTCTCTTTGGGCAAGCTCGGTGCTTCCCTAGGGCCCCAAGTGGAGTTTTCCGGGTTTAGGGTTTAGGGTTTAGGGTTTAGGGTTTAGGGTTTAGGGTTTAGGGTTTAGGGTTTAGGGGTAGCTTCATGGGCCCTAAATATGGTCCCTAACCTCCTTTAAAGGGTTCTGAAGTATCGGCCCTCCATTTGTATGGCCCAAAATCAGGGGCCGTGTAGCTACCGTTAGAAAATATGGGGAACCCTGCTAGAGATCAGGTACACGAAACTAGCACCTATATACTTTGGGCTGAGGGGGGGGGGGTGGTGGGGGGGAACCCCTTCAGTAAGGAATATACCTTAAATCACATTAGGGTTTCCGTTATAATTTAAGGGATATACCTTAATTAAGGGGTTTTGGAGTCTCCAGGCGTGGGGGGGTGGGGGTCGAACGTGTGCAAGGAAAAGCCTTCTTTGGGTGCGATGGAGACTGAGAGTGCTAGCGGGGCTAATTAGGGTTTAGGGGTTTGGGTTTTGGGTTTTGGGGTCTTGGGGCTTTTGCGGGTTTGGGGTTTTGGGGTTTTGGATTTTTGGGGTTTTGGGGATTTGGGGTTTTGGGGTTTGGGGTTTAGGGTTCACCCTAACTAAGGCGCCAAGAACACAGATTTTGAGGTTTTGTGGGTAAGGTCTTTGGGCTATTCTGAGCCTAAGGGTTTAGGGTTTTTTTTTTGCTTTCCCGAGTTTAGGGTGAATGTTTAGGGTGAGGCTATTAGGTGGGCAGCGGTTCTCCAGGCCTAATTTGGGGGGTGGGGGGTTGAGGATTTTGGGGTTCTCCCAAACAACAAAAAACCCAAAAAAACTAAACCCCAACCTCCAACCCCAAACCCTAAACCCTAAACCCTTCAACCCTGTCGAGGTGGCGACGGCAGGGTTCACGGCTGTGGGTGGCCTCATTTGTGGGGCAACCCAGGGGAGGGCGAGGCAGGCCCTTGGGATTGGGGTTTAGGGTTTAGGGTTTAGGGTTTAGGGTTTAGCGTTTAGGGTCTAGGGTTTAGGGTTTAGGGTTTAGGGTTTAGGGTTTAGGGTTTAGGTTGAGGGTTATGTTTCCCCTTATTGGGTTTCAAGAGGTTCATATTCCCTGGGTACCACATGAACCTTACAAGCTGGGGGTCAGATACCCTCGACTACTGGAATTTCTAATTGAGGTATATGACCCATAAGACGTACTACTTCGAGGTTCATGGTACTTATTAACCAAGTACAACTGTACTGAACCCTAAACCCTAAACCCCTAAACCCTAAACCCTAAAACCCACTTATCAGCTTATGAGCCCCTTAAGTGCCCGAATATGATTATAAGTACAGCTAGTTGGTTAATAAGTACCATGCACCTCCAAGCAAGGTTCATTTGGCCCCCCCAGGGTTGGGAAGCTTTGTCACAGGGTGCGTAACCCTAAACCCTAAACCCTAAATCCTAAACCCTAATCGGTGAGAGGCTGGGGCCTGATCCTAAGCCCTAAACCCTAAACCCTAAAGTTTGATGGCGCCCGGGTGCTTGGAGATTTAGGGCTGGACAGGGTGCGCATGAGGTTTTAAATGTTCTTTTGGACTCTCTGAACCTTCTAGGGTTTAGAGACTGAGGGTTTGATGTTCAAGTAGCTGCGCTGCTTTTTGGCTTTTAAGGGCCTTTAGTGGGATGCCGGTTCATGAGAGTCCATGGGGACACTCTGCATTACTTTGAGGGTTGGGGGTGCAGGGCCGGGGGGGGGGGGGGGGGGGGGGGGGGGGGGGGGGGGGGGGGGGGGGGGGGGGGGGGGGGGGCGTGTGGACAACAAACTCAAAAGAAGAGTTCAACATCTCAGTTTAGGGTACAACATCATAGAGGAGGAGGGAGGGGATCTCAAATCACGATTGCCGAGTGCGATAAGGAGGAACAACCCAATGTATCGGTCGCATGATACATCTTACATACATATATATATATATACGTACATACATAGTATGTAACATTACATGT